ATGGCGTCAAGTGTGGTGGCGGTAGTGAGGTTGGCCCAGGATTGAACATTGTTTCGTTCTGCTGTGCATGGGGTCACTATGAGTCGGTTCCGACTCAATGGCACCTGACAACAACAACAACGCTACCGGAGCTCCCTTTCAAGTAAATAGTCACTGTTCTCCCATGTAAACTATCACATAATTCACAATAAAACATTAAAAAAAAAAAATAGTGGGGGATGGGGAGAGAAAGAGTCCCCACTGAATAGTTTTCATCTTGAATCTTATGATTCAATAGTGAATAATTGTTATCATGACTAATTGCGACTGTCAAAATTGTACGTAATAAAACTGTAGAAGTTTTGTAATAAAAACAGGGGAGTGGTTAGTCTTACACTCCAGAAACTGAGAGCCCTAGGACCATCAAGGGAGAAGAGCACAAGCAGAATACAGGACCCTATCCAGAGAAGCAGCGTTGCCAGAGATGGAGGCAGAGATGGGGGCATGGAGAGGGGGTGAGGCTGAGGACTCCATATTCATGGGAAGAGAGGGTCTAAGAGCTGTTGGCCAGGAGACAGACTTGCAGAATGTGCCCTTTGGAGGTGTAAACTATTATATATGCCAGAGTGGTGTTTTTTAAGCTGAAGTGGATAGAGAGAAATACTGTTAACTGATGGTACATGAAGGGGATTATAATCAATTGTAATGAAACAAGGTGTATGATTTGTTGAATGTAAAACTGGTGATCTGCCCTGTAAACTTTCACTCAATCCACAATAAAAAACCTTTAAAAACCAAACACAAACACACACAAAAAAAAAACCTACAAAAAAAAAATGAACATGGTCAGTGCCAAAAGTGAAGACCAACTGAAAGGATATCTTGCCATTTCCGTTAGAATTCTAAGCAGTGCTTTCCAAATAAAAATACATTTGCTGTCCAACTGTGATTGTTTTCTATTTTATGCTCAAAACAAGCACACAAACAAATGAAAACAAACTTTCCAGCTTGACAACAAATATGAGCTCCAAAGAGCAAGTCCTTTAATCAGCAACTCTTACCTGGGTACAAAGACTGAGAGTAGGGTTTCACCTAAAAGGGGTTAGATACCAGCAGTTCTACATCGATAGCAACAGCGGTTGTTGGTTTCTCTAACAGTGTGTCGGTTCATCTGATTGGTGAGTTCTTCATGATCCTCCCACAGCTTCCGTTCATTTCTCCCTACAAATGTGAAACATCACATCCTAAATGGGCTTCTGGGAAAACGATAAACAACACAACCAAGTACGTAAAGGTGGAAACGGAGAGTTAATGCTACAGGGATCTTGGAATGTGGCTCTCCCTGAGGACCACTTGTCTCTGAGCTGCTCCCCCTCAACTCCTAGAGCTGAATGGGACAATGTTAAAGCTCCCAGGAGAAAGCAGCTCTGAGACCTTGGGCAAGTCATGCAACTTCTTTGTTTTATATCAAAACCAGAATGAACTAAGTTGCCATCAAGTTGATTCTGACTTGCAGCAACCCTACAGAATGCAAGAGAACTGCCCCAAAGAGTTTCCAAGACTGCCATCTTTACAGAGCTGACTGCCACACCTTTCTTCCGTTGCTGGTTGCTTTGAAGCACCAGTCTTTCAGGCAACAGTCAAGCACTTAAACCACAGTGTCACCAGGACTTCTGTATAATGTCAAGGGGATGAGAGAGCACCCACCATGTAGCGTTGTGAGGAATTAGTACAACCTTGGTATAAAACCTGCTGGGTACACCTGAGCAGGACTATGGGACATCTGTCACTCCCTGAGGAAGGCAGGTAGAGATGGAAACCATCTTGTCACCAATATTACCAATGACTAAATAAATTCACCCTGGATCTGCCCTACTGCCAGACTTCTTGTTACAAAACACCTCATTAAATATTCTAGAGCAAAGATGTCACTTGGAGGACTAAGGTATGCTTGATCCACTCATGATATTTTCAATCACCTCAAATGAATGTGAATGTTAGACAATGAATAAGGAAAGCAAGAGAAGAACCAATGCATTTAAATTATGGTGTTGGTGAAGAATATTGAAAAGTACCACGGACTTCCAGAATAACAAGCAAATCTGCTTTGGGAGAAATACAGCCAGAATGCTCCTTAGAAGTGAAAATGGCCAAAATTGGTCTCTCTTACTTTGGACATGTTATCAGGAGGGACCAGCCCCTCCCTGGAGAAGGAGGACACCATGCTAGGTAAAATGGAGAGTTAGGGAGAAAGAGGAGAAGATGGATTAATACAGTTGCAGCAGCAACGGGCTCAAACATCACGAGGGCTATGAAAATGATGCAGAACTGGGCAGTGTTCCATCCTGTTGTGCTTAGTGTCACTCTGAGTCATAACTGACTGGAACGCACCAAACAACAACAACAACACAATGTGACCAAGGCAAAAGAAGCCACCGATAGGAACACAAGAGTTAAAGGCAACCATGTTACATACTTTTGCATCTATAATCCTGCAACCACCATAACAATAAATAATAACAACCTAACAGTGGATACGTAGGTAGACATCCAAGCTGAACTGGTGTAGGAAGGTAAAGGGGATTGTATTCATGATTCTTAACAGATCTGGTCACAGATAATTCTACGTATGTACTGGCATGTGCTGCAAATATACCCATGTGTTCAATAGAGCACACAGGGGGTATGTTCTGAAAACTGCTTTGTCATAAACAAACACCTTGAGAAAATGAGTCACTGGGTTTGAGGGCTTAGGACCATAGTCTCAGGGGACATCTAGACCACTTGGCCTAGTATAGTCCACAAGGATGATGTTCTACATCCTACGTTGGTGAGAGGTGACTGCGGTCTTAAAAGCGTACAGTCCACCATCAAAGGTGCAACTGTTGACCTCTGCCTATTTGGAGCAAAGAAGAGTGAAGAAAATCAGAGTCAAGGAAACAGTCCAAAGGCGTAATGCACCAAGTAAATCATCGCCTGTACCACCCCAAGATCAGAAGAGCTAGATGGTGCCCAGCTACTACAACTGACTACTCTGACGGGATCCCATAAGGGGAAAATGTAGAACACGATTCAAAAGCACAACCAAGGTCAGATGTGGATCTGTTAAAGACTGTGGTCTTCAAATACTCTTTAAACCTGGAACTGGACCCCCCTCCAAGAATTATCTTGCAGCCAAACAACAGACAGAACCCTAAAGTGAACAGTAATGCCCACGAGGAACGTGTCCTTCAGAACAATCAACCAAAGGAGATTAAAAGAACAGCATTTGCCCAAAAGCCAAAGCTCAGAAGGCAGGTGGTGGTGGTGGTGTGCCGTGGAGTCGGTATGGCACTGTGTGTTAATGCACTGGACTGCAAAGTCAGTTTGAACCTCAAGATCGGCAGTTCAAGTTCACCAGCTGCTCTTTGGAAAACCCTATACAGGGTCACTATGGGTCGGAACTGAATGGATGACACTTAACAACAACAACATTGGGTTTTCGAGGCTGTAAATCTTTACAGGAGCAGAAAGCCTCATCTTTCTCCCACAGAACTGCTGACCTTGAGGTTAGCAGCCCGACTCATAACCACTACGCTACCAGAGCTCCTTTCAGAAGGCAGGCAGGGGCTGGGAAGATGGCCGGGCAGAAATGAGAAATCCAAGGAGGAAGTGGGAAGAGAGCTGTAGAAAAAAGGTAGACATTTGTAAAAACTAATTTGCTTGGTAAATTCTCACCCAAACCACAAGTAATTATAAAAAAAGCCTAGTTAGGTTCACTAGGGTTTCCTATAACCCTTGAGAGGTGGGAGACGGGGGTTAGGAAAGGTCCCAGGGAAAGCCAACCAACATAATTCCAAGGCACCGCTTGAGGACCACTGTCATGTAGGAAGCCCACTTCTAAGGCAGGATTAATCGATCCTTCTCTTACATCCTCCCTGCCCCTCACATCACTGGCTCAGGGCTTCATGTAGCTTCCTCACACCACCCATGTTGGAAGTGAATGCAATATAGCATTGGGTAATTATGTGGGCCCTGTTCCCCAAGTGGCAATTATGTAGGCTGGGTTCTGTATAAGCACCTAATCAGTGCCCAGATGACTGTTTTGGCAGTCAAAGATGAAGTGGCCAGAAATCCATCCTTTCATCTACCAAGCAGAACGTTCTAGGCAGAACCCTGCAAATGGGCAATTTCTGAGCTGTCTGCCAGGTTCTTCTAAACTACAGGTGGGCAGTCCTGGCCAGCCCTGGGCAAGGTGACTGTGCCCCAAAGCATGAATGACCCTCAAAACAGACATTCAGGAACCTGACTACCACAGAGCATCAGCCGGTCATCCCACACTCCTCCATTATTACAAAGACGCAATGACTTTGATGTCTCTGGGCCTTGGTTGGTGGTGGGTTGCAGTGGGGGACCCTGTATAGAGTTTCAGAGGCTGTAAATCATAAAGCCTCACGTTTCCCCTGTGAAGTGACTGCAGTAGATTCTAACTTTGACCTTGTGGTTAGCAGCCCAACCTGTAACCCACTTCTCTACCAGGGCTCCTTAGTGGGAGTCACTAATTGGCTGAGTCCAGCGTCTCTGCTCCAGGTCTTTTTTTCCCCAATGTTTTATTGTGAATTATATGATAGTTTACATGCGAGAACTCTAGTTTTACATTCATTCCATCACATATCATTACATTGCCATCATTCCAATCCCCTCTGCTCCAGTTCTGAGGGTAACACTTGCATAGCTCCTGCCTCTCTCCCCACAGGTCTTATGTCACAGCCTAGATCTGGAGAGGCAAGACGATGACAACATGATAAAAACCATCCCGGGAGCCATCTCTACCGCTCACTAGCTGTGTCACTGTGGGCAAGGTTCCGTGCCTCTCTGACTCAGTGTGTCTGTCTGTAAAATGGAACTAGTGATCTAGCACCTGCCTCATCAAGTTGCTGTGAGAATCAAATAGTAGCTCATTTACTGCATGGGAAGTTATTATATCTTGGTTATAACACATGAAGTATTAGGAAGTCCCAAAAGTCTTGGTGGTGTTGTATGAATAAACACTGGACTGCTAACTGCAAGGTTGGTGGTTTAAACCCACCAGCTGCTCCTTGGAAACCCTATACGAGGCACTATCAGTCAGAACCGATTCAATGGCCCTTAACAACACCAACATTAGGATGTCCCAGGTAGGTGAAAGCAGTTCATGTGCTCAGCTGCACCTTAGAAGGTCCACCCAGATGCACCTTAGAAGAAAGGTCTGGTGAATCGGCCACTGAAAACCCTACGAAGCCCAGTTCAACTCTGACACACTTGGAGTCGCCAAGAGCCGGAATCCACTAACAACCGTGTGGATTTTGTTTGTTGTGTTGTTATTCGGGGACTGAGTTAGGAAGGAGAGAAGAGAACATCTGAAAAATAGTAGCATCCGCAGCGTGGCTGTATGTAAACTCTCAGCGTGAGAACTGCCCACAAAGAAGGCAAGTGATCTTCAGAGGTGACCCAACATGTGGAAGGGACACTGGACACATGTGATCGCCAGGGCAGCTGCAGCAGGCAAACACTTAGCAGGGATGGACCAACCAAGGTGTCACGGTGTGGCGTTTCTCCTCCTCCAAAAACCAAAATGCGTGCCAAAAATAGGCACGGAAGGATGGCAAGAGGGAGGGAATGCAAGGTTTGTCTCAGAAATGTCAGCCAGGACTGGCATTTCAGAGAGAAATTTCCTTTGTACAGTAAGGAGCGGATCGCAGCTTTCCAGCGGACACTAGGTGGACTATCAGAGGAAGGCAAGAAGTTGTTCCACGCCGGAGAGGAAAAGGGAGCAACTGAAGGGAGACTTGGAGGCTGCGCCATTGCTCAGGGAGTTCAAACATTTATCCAATTGTTGATGTTAGACTGCTAACCACAAGGTCGGCGGCTCAAACCTGCAAGCCGCTCCATGGAAACCTATGCGGAGTCTATAAAAGTTGGAACCAACTGGGCGACACCTTACAACAGCACCTCTCTTCCTGGAGTTCTGCAGGGGGTGCCAGGCATGTTGACCACACTGCAGCTCACACTTGTGCAGTGAACATTCCATACAACTGTACAACGTGGGAGACAAGCAGGGCCTGTGGCCGCAGAACACTGAAGGGTCAAAAGGCCTGGTGATGGACTTCCAGGAATCCCAGCAGACCAATGCACAGCCAGTCCTGGGAAGGGCACAGAACTTAGCGGCTTTTCATTCCTTTGTACGTGAGGTTGTCATGAGTCTGGGGGACTTGGCTGCCACTAACAACAACAACAACAACAAGAACAACAAAAGGAAGCAGAATCCATTCACGGGAACAAACACCTCACTAAACTGCATGACTTACATTCCCCCCTTCCAGGTTCCTGAGGTGCAACATGCTTAAGGTAGGGGGTGAGTCCATCATCACTCTGCCCAAAACCTGGGTCAGATTTTGCACAAGAGTCTACCGCTAGGAACTGAAAAATGTTAAAAGTCTTGGAAGACCCAAATAACAGTATCTGTATTAAAATTCCTTGCCAATGAATATGTGTCCTCAACCCAGCTTTCCTTCTAACAGAAAAGCTACAAATCAGCACTATCAAAGAATGGAAGTAGACAAAGAGATGATTTGTAAGTGGAAACACTCTGGCTGAACATTAAAAACTGGATATAATGCATGTTGGCTTCAATATAAGAAATACTTTATTATATATATACATATGTGGAGGCTTCAGGTTTTCCTGGGAAAATTCCATTCTCTCTTAATTCCACTTTTCCTTGGACTCTCTGAAGCCCCCTAGTATGGCACTGTAGGATAAGCGCTCAACCGCAAGGTTGGTTTGAACTGCAAGGCTGATGGTTCAAATCCACCATCCACTCCTTGGAAACCCTATTCAGTGTTGCTATGAGTCGGAACCAACTCAGTACATATTAGCTTTCTAGGTTGTATGTTGTTGTTGTTGTTGTTAAGTGCCGTCGAGTCGGTTCCGACCCATAGCGACCCTGTACAGGGTTTCCAAGGGTGTAAATCTTTACGGGAGTAGAACGCCTCATCTTTCTCCCGCGGAGCGACTGGTAGTTTAGAACCGCTGACCTTAAGGTTCGCAGCCCGATTCGTAACCACTACGCTACCGTATATATATAGTTCATTGAAACTGTGTATGTATACAATTTGCCGAAGTTAATTTTAAAATGGTGGTTGTAGCAGTACATTGACAAGGAACTGCCAGAAATTCAAGGCTCTTTCAGAAGAAGATATGGTGGTGGTGGTGGTTATATGCTGTGGAGTCAGTTCTGACTCATAGCCACCCTGTATAGGGTTTCTGAGACTATAAATCTTTACAGGAGCAGAAAGCCTCATCTTTCTCCCACAGAGCACCTGGTAAATTCGAACTGCTGACCTTGTGGTTAGTAGCCAACTCGTAACCCACTACACTACCAGAGCTCTTTAGAAGAAGATATAGAATTTGGGATATCAAAGCTGACATCAGATAGATCTCGGCTGAAAACAGAGAATACCAGAAAACTGTTCATCTGTGTTTTATTGACTATGCAAAAGTATTCAACTGCATGGATCATAATAGGCTATGGAAAACATTGTGAAGAATGGATATTCCAGAACATTTCATTGTGCTTATAAGGAACCTGTACAGAGACCAAGAGGCAGTTGTTTGAACAGACCAAGGAGATACTGTGTGGTTTAAAATCAGGAAAGGTGTGGCTCAGGGTGTATTCTTTCACCATACTTATTCAATCTGTGCACTGAGTAAATCATCCGAGGAGCTGGATTATATAAAGAAGAACGTGGCTTCAGAGCTGGAAGAAGACTTATTAACAACCTGTGATATGCAGATGATAGATACAACCTTGTTTGCTGAAAGCCAAGAGGACTGAAAATACTTATTGATGAAGATCAAAGACCACAACCTTTGGCATGAGTTGCACTTTAATTTAAAGAAAACAAAAATCCTCACCGCTGGACTAATAAATAACATCCATATAAATGGAGAAAAGATTGAAATGATCAGGGATTTCACTTTACTTGGATCCACAATCAACGCCCATAGAAGCAGTAGTCAAGAAGTCAAACAGTGTATTACATTGAACAAATCTGCTGCAAAAGAACTCTTTAAAATACAAAAATGCAACAATGTCACTGTGAGGATTAAGGTGTTTCTGGAAATACCCAAGCCATGGTGTTTTCTGTCGCCTCATATGCATGTGAAACCTGGACAATGAATAAGGAAAACTGAAGAAGGACAATGACTAAGGAACTGATGCCTTCGAATCACGGTGTTGGGGAAGAATATTGATGACACCATGGACCACCAGAAAAATGAGCAAATCTGTCTTGGAAGAAGTACAACCAGAATGCTCCTTAGAAGCAAAGATGGTGAGACTTATCTTATGTACTCTGGACCAATCCCTGGAAAAGAGCATCATGCTTGGTAAAGTAGAGGGTCGGCGTAAAAGAAGACCTTCAACAAGATGGACTAACACAGTGGCTCCAACAACAGGCTCAAACAAAGCTTCGATTGTGAGGACGGCACGACACCAGGCAATGTTTGGTTCTGTTGTACACAGGGTTGCTATGAGACGGCACAAACTCAACAACACCTAACAGCAATAATATATGCATACGCAGAGCACTATTTGAATAATGTATGCATCCAACTCATGCAATGAAAAGGAAAGAGTATGGAGAATACCCACACTCAGAAACAATTGTCCATCTTCGCACTTGACTTCCATTCTCTCAGCATACTCTGATCCTTGTTCCAATATCTTACCACATATTCTTGAGTGACCACAATTCTAGAGCTGCCAATTAACACCTACTCATGCAGAACATATTCCTGGGCACCAACCACAGTGGAAGGTCATCGGGAGTAAAGACAGCAGCAAGGTGGAGGTGAGGAGTCAGGCTCTTGAGCCTAGTGTGTGTGGTAGAGTTGACCTCCGTTTCATGTGATTCCACTGTTTGGTGCTAAATGCAGGGCACAAAGTAGTAGGTGGTAGAGGCAGGGTCCCTGGCCTCAGGAAGCTTCCTTCTAGTAGAAGAGGCAGGCTTTAAACAAACAGCCCAAATAAAAATACAATAGCCAGACCCACGGTGACCTACTTTATAGAAGTGCTGGGTGCTAAGAGGATATAGCTGGGAGGGGCGTGATGTCATATAGGATGGTGAGACCAGAGGGGTGAGTGGAAGTTACCCAGGCAGAATTAGGAAGAAGTATTCCAGACAGAGAGCAGTACGCTCACAGGCCCCAAGACAGGAACAAGTCCTTGTTCAAAAAGACCAGAGGGGCTGTTCCATAGAGAGGAAGGACCAGAGGAAGAAGACCTAGTCAACCAGAAGGCCCTGATTCTACGGAGTGACCGAAGAGCACGTTCTTCTGTTTTCTGTAGGCTTCCCGTCCTCTGCGTTGTCTAGCTACTGCATGCACCCTGACAGCAGGACATGAAATGAGTTTAGATAAGAGGAAATACTTCAGCTGCTTACTTACAAAAGACAGTGACTTAAAATAGCTCTTCTTATGTAGTGGGTATTTCTTCAGGGGATAGGCTTGCCTATGAAGGTGAGAATTTACTTCAGAGGTCGAATCTTCCTACAACAAAAATAAATCCCATAATGACATTATTTATGGTGTAATATAAGGAGTTCTGGTAGTGTAGTGATTACAAATCGGGCTGCGAACCTCAGGGTCAGCAGTTCAAAACTACCAGCTGTTCCACGGGAGAAAGATGAAGCTTTCTGCTCCTATAAAGATTTACAGCCTCGGAAACCCTGTACAGGGTCACTATGAGTCGGACCAACTCCACAGCACATAACAACAGCAATGCTGTAGTATAGATCCATGACACAAAGATAAGGAGCTACGCATGTGAAAGGCCTAGGGTTCCACATATGTTGTATGTGTGGTTGTTGTTGTTAAGTGCCAACCCATAGCGACCGTGTATAGGGTTTCCAAGGAGCAGCTGGTGAGCTTGAAGCGCCGACCTTGCAATTCAAATGGCTTTGCAGTCTGGCGCATTAACCCACAGCTCCACACCAGAACTCTGTATGTGTGGTGTTCACTATATATTGCTGTTGTTAAGTGCTGTCGAGTCAGTTCTGACTCATAGTGACCCGGTACAGAGTTTCTGAGGAGCAACTGGTGAGGTTGAACCACTGACCTTGCAGTTCAAACTGACCTTGCAGTCCAGTGCATTATGTATATAAATACACATATATATGCATATATATATATATATGTTGTTGTTATGTGCCGTGGAATCGGTTCCGACTCATAGCGACCCTGTACAGGGTTTCCAAGGCTGTAATTCTTTACGGGAGCAGCAAGCCTCATCTTTCTCCTGTGGAACAGCTGGTAGTTTTGAACTGCTGACCTTGTGGTTCGCAGCCTGATTCGTAACCACTACGCTACCAGAGCTCCATATATATATATATATATATATATATATATATATATATATATATACACTAAAAAATTTTTTAAGGACCTTATTACATTAAAAGATTGGGAATTATCAAGACAAAGAAGAGGCAGTAAAATAATTCACCACCCCAATGGTTTGTTGTTGTTGTTGTTGTTGTTATTAGGTGCTGTTCAGTTGGTTCTGACTCATAGAGAACCCCTGTACAACAGACCAAAACCCTGCTCAGTCCTAACTAACCTTTCTCACGACCACTGCTGGGTTTGAGCCCCTTGTTGCTGCCACTGAGTCTGTCCCTCTTGTTGGGACGCTTCCTTTTTTTCTCTCTAACCTTCTACTTTACCTTGCCTGATGTCCTTCCTCTGGGACTAGTCTCTCCTGATGACACGGCCAAAGAATGTGAGAAAAAGTCTCACCATTCTGGCTTCAAAGGAGCATTTTGACTATACCATCGTCCAAGACAGATTTGTTTGTTCTTCTGGTATATTCAGTCCATGGTATGCTCAATATTCTTTGCCAACATCATAATTCAAATGTATCCATCCTCTCTAGTTTTCCTTTTTTGTTGTCCAGTTTTTGCACACATATAAGAAAACACCATGGCTTGGATCGAGTTCACCTTAGTCCTGAAAGTGACATCAAGTGCTCCTTGGTTGGGGCACTCAATGTATTCATTTGTAAGTGTCATTCTATAAACCTAGGACATGTCAACCTTTAGTAAGGCAAGGGGACCAATTGGCCTTCATAGCACGGCTGAAAGCAAGCCACTCCTAGCAGCCCTGTTCATTAACCCTTTCTTTGAATTCTTTTGAAAGGTTACTTGACTAATCGCTGTGCATCTTGCAGGAGACTCAAAACATTGAGTCTATTTTTCTATGGATTAGAAACAACCCTCCACCCCTACTAGAGTCAAGCACATGCTTAAACTTTAGAAAAGTGTTCTTCCAGGTTGTAACATAGCCCACAGTGCAGACGAGTCCTCGGAACAGGAGTTCCTGTGAGCAGAGGAAGGGAAAAGTACTGAGGGCCAGCTAACAAGGGCCTGGGAGAAAATCCTTCTTAGTCCTCTGAAGATGCCACTGTTGTGGATTGAACTGTGTCCCCCAACAAGTGTACGTATTGAAGACCTCGCCCCGTACCTGTGGATGTGACCCTACTGGGAAATGTGAGTTTACTTTGGTTTGTAACTGAAGCCATAACGGAGCAGCGTGGCTCCTAACGGTAATCACTTCTGGGGTAAACAAAGTGCAGAGTAGAACCAGAGACACACACAGGGGAAGACGGATGTCATGGGAGGCTCATCTACAAGCCAAGGAGCACCAAGGATTGCTGGCAGATGCCGGGAATTAGGAGAGAGGCTCACAGGAGGGTTGACACCGCTGAAACTCTGCTTGGACCTCTAGCCTCCTGTACTGTGAGAAAATATTTCTGTTTTTTAAAGCCCTCCATGTGTGGAACTTAAATGGTGGCAGCACTAGATCACCTAGACAACGTGGCTTCCGCCATCTGTCCGCACAACTCCCACTTGATGCTTGCTTTGCCCCGAGTCAGCTGCTCCTCACCCTTCAGTAGGTCTCCGTTGTATTGTCTCTTCCTCAGGGACGTCTTCCCTGTCTCCCAACCAAATGTCCCTACAATACACCCTCAGGACAACACGCACAGTCCTTGGTAACCATCAGTGCTTTCCACTGATTTCTGTGGTGACATCATCAATGGCTGTCTCCCCCATCAAGCTCTGTTTCCACTCTTATTTTCTCAGCAAAGATCGTGTTTGGTCCCAAGCCCTTACCTGGGTTGGGTTTGGCTGCTGAACTCCGTGGAATGTCAGAAGACTGCAAACTCGCTCATGGATCTTCTTCCACGTGGAGTGAAAGCTAGAGTGGAACCCAAACAGGATGGAATGCCATGTGACTATTAAATACGATGCTTGCTCAAGGCGTGTAACAATTGGTGTCAATACACGTAACTTAAGAGTAACAAAAAACAGCAACGAACAAAAAGGCACACAGTGCAATTTCAATGTCTTTCTTACACTTATGTATCAGAAAAATACTCCTACGGGAACGTAAAACATGGTTTCATTCAAGAATGGTTTCGTTTAAATTACTCCAGTGGACCAAAGGACCATGTGAACACCAGTCTCCATTGACTCTGAGACCAGAAGAACTAGCGGGTACCCGACAACTGCTCTGAAAGGGATCACATTGGACGGTCCTGGATAGAGTGGAAGAAAACGCAGAACAAAACTCAAAATCAGGCAGACACTGGTGGAGTTCTGCAACTAGGGCCCCTTGGTCACCCTTCAGGTCTGGAGCTGAACCCACTCCCAGGTTAACCCTCGCCCTGCCCCCTCCGCTTTGCCAACTTGCCAGGTTCCAGGCTGGCAGCAAGTGAGACGAGGGTAAGGAACGGGGTCAGGCACAGAAAGAGGTCTACATGTGTCCCGAACCACCTGTCTCTGTGGTCCAAAGCTGAAGTTAACAGTTTCTGATTGTCAGCTTTTCTTCTATGCTGTTATTTTCTTCCAGTATAGCAACTAATCATCTGCTGTTGTTGTTGTTGTTGTTGTTGTTGTTGTTGTTGTTGTTAAGTGCCATCAAGTTGGTTCTGGCTCATAGTAAGCCTGTATAGGGTTACCGAGGAGAGGCTGGTGGGTTTGAACTGCCGACCTTGAAATTCAAATCGACCCTGCGGTCCATTGCTTTATCCTATAGTGCCACACCAGGACTCCAGAAACAAATCATGTTGTTGTTGTTGTTGTTGCTGGGTGTCATGAAGTCGGTACCGACTCATAGCGACCCTATGCACAACAGAACAAAAACGCCCAGTTCTGTGCCAACCTCACAATCGCTGCTACGTTTGGGTCCATTGCTGCTACCACTGTGTCAATCCATCTCACTGGGGGTCTTCCACTTTTTCTCCGACCCTCCATTTTACCAAACATGATATTCTTGTCCAGGGACTGGTCCCAACTGATTATATGTCGAAAGTATGAGAGACGAAGTCTGGCCATCCTGGCCTCCAAGGAGCACTCTGGCTGTATTTCTTCCAGCACAGGTCTGTTTGTTCTTTTGACAGCCCATGGTACATTTAATATTCTCCTCCAACACCGTAACTCAAATGTATCAATTCTTCCATGGCCTTCCTTATTCCCTGTCCAACCTTCGCATGCATGTGAGGTTGTTGAAAATGCCATGGCTTGGATCAGAGGCACCTTAGTCCTCAAGCTGACATCTTTGCTCTTCAACACTTTAAGGAGGCCTTGTGCAGTAGGCTTGCCTAATGCAATACTCCATTTGATTGCTGCTTCCATGAGAGTTGATGGTTAATCCAAGCAAAATTAAGTCTTTAAAAACTTCAGTCTTTTTTCCATTTATATTGATCTTGTTTGTTGGTCCAGTGGTGAAGATTTTTGTCTTCTTTATATTCAGGTGCAACCCATACCAAAGGCTGTGGTCTTTGGTCTTCATCTGTATTTTAAGTCCTCTTCACTTTCAGCAAGCAAGATTGTATCATCTGTAGATGGCAGGTTGTTAATGAGTCTTCCTCCAATCCTGATGCCATGTTTTTCTTCATATAACCCAGCTTCTAATATTACTTGCTCAGCATACAGATTGAATAAGTACGGCAAAAGAATACAACCCTGTCACACACCTTTCTTAATTTTAAACCACTCGGTGGCTTCTTGTTCTGTTTGAATAACTGCCTCTTGGTCTATGTACAGATTCCTCATGAGCACAATTAAGTGTTCCAAAATACTCATTCTCCACAATGTTGTCCATAGTGTGTCATGATCCACACATTTGAAAGCTTTCATGTAGCAAAAAAAGCACAGGTAAGCATCTTTCTGGTATTCTCTGCTTTCAACCAAATCCATCTGACGACAACAATGATATCCCTCATTCCACATCCTCTTCTGAATCTGGCTTGAACCTCTGGATGTTCTCTGTCAATGTATGGCTGCAGCCATTTTTTAATGATGTTTAGCAAAATTCTACTTGCATGTGATATTAATGACAGTGTCCGATGACTTCTGCATTCCATTGGGTCACCTCTCTTTGGAACGGGCACAAATATGGATCTCTTCCAATCAATTGGCCAGGTATCTGTCTTCCAAATTTCTTGACATAGATGTGTGAATCTTCTAGCATTGCATCGATTCGTTGAAAGATTTCAATTTTTATTCCATCAATTCCTGGCACACTGTTCTTTGCCATGCACCTTGGGCTTCTTCCTTTAGTGTCATTTACTCTTGATCATATGCTACCTTCTGAAATGGTTGAACATTGACCATTTCTTTGTGGATAGTGACTCTGTATATTCCTTCCATCTTGTTTTGATGCTTTCTGCATCATTCAAGATTTTGCCCAGAGAATCTTTCAGTGTCACAAGTCGAGGCTTGAATTTTTTCTTCAGTTCCCTCAATTTGAGAAATGCTGAGTGTGTTCTTCTCCTTTGGTTTTCTAACTCCAGGTCTTTGCACATTTTGTTATATTTGATTTTGTCTTCTTGAACTGCCTTTTGAAATTTTCTGTGCAGCTCTTGTACCTCCTCACTTCTTCCATTTGCTTTAGCATCTCTACCCTGGAGAAAAAGTTTCAGAGTCTCTTCTGACATCCATTTTAGTCTTGTCCTTCTTTCTTGTCTTCTTAATGACCCTTTGCTTTCTTCCTGTGTGATGTTCTTTATGCCATCCCACAACTCTTCTGGTCTTCAGTCTTTAGTGTCTAATGCATCAAATCTGTTCTTCATATGATCTCTAAATTCAGGTGGGATATGTTCAAGGTCATATTTTGGCTCTCATAGACTTGTTTTCATTTTCTTCAACTTCAGCCTGAACTGGTATGCGAGCAATTGATGATTTGTTCCACAGTCTGGCCCGGTCTTGTTTTGGCTGATGATATGGAGTTTTCCCACCATTTCTTTCCATCATATGTAGTCAATTTGATTTCTGTGTATTTCATATGGTGATGTCCATGTATATAAACATCTTCTGTGTAGTTTTAAAAAAAACTGTAATGAAGAAGTCCATGGTTTTGCAAAATTCTATCATGCGATTGTCAGCATCCTTTCTACCACCAAGGACATGTTTTCCAACTACTGATCCTTCCTCTTTGTTTCTAACCTTTGTACTCCAATCACCAATAATTACCAATACATCTTGATTGCATGTTTGATCAATTTCAGACTGAAGAAGTTGGCAGAATTCTTGAATTTCATCGTCACTGGCTTTAGTGGTTGGTACATACATTTGAACAATAGTGGTGTTAACTGGTCTTCCATGTAGGCACATGCATATTACTCTACCACAACATTGTACCTCATGACTGATCTTCATATATTCTTTTTGATGATGAATACAACACCATTCCTCTTCAATTTGTCATTCCCAGAGTAGTAAACCATGTGATTGTAAGATTCAAAATGGCCAATACCGATCCAGCTCAGCTCACTAATGCCTAGGATATCGATGTTTATGTGTTCTATTTCATTTTTGGCAATTTCCAATTTTCCTAGATTCATACTTCGTACATGTTCCGATTATTAACAGATGTTTGATTGAAGTGGTTTCTCCTCATTTTGAGTTGTGTCCCATAAGCAAATGAAGGTCCCAAAGCCTTTACTCCATTCGCATCATCACGGTCAACTCTACTTTGAGGAGGCAGCTCTTCCCCAGTCGTATTCTGAGTGCCTTCCAACCTGAGAGGCTCATCTTCTGGCACTGTATCTGACAATATTCTGGTGCTCTTCATCATGTTTCAATATTCAATATTCTGGTGCTATCAGGCAGTGTCCCACTGCTATTCATAAGGTTTTCAGTGACTAAATATTCAGTAGTAGTCCACCTCTCCTTCTTCCTAGTCTGTCTTCATTTGGAAGCTCAGCTGAAACTTGTCCACTGTGGGTGACCTTGCTGTTTTTAAAATACCCATGGCATAGCTTCCAGAATCACAGGTTCTATTAAAATATTCCATCTGATTTCCTCACGGTCACGATGAAAACATTTTAATAGTAAATGTTTCCATGACTCCTGAACAACACTAAGATTAGATGGCTGCTTTCTTGGTTTACTCCACACTTGTCGTACATTACCGTGGGAAATTTCAGAATCACTTTTGTTCTGGGATATATTTCTATGAGTCCCTTTATGAACAACCGTGCTATTCTGACATGGAGATTTCTCTACTTATTCTCATTCCAAATAATACTGAGAAAAGCAGATAGTTATATCCTTCATTCAGAATTGTTATTATTAAGTGCCCTTGAGTCACTTCTGACTCATAGTGATCCTGTGGTAGGGTTTCCGGGGCTATAAATCTTTATGGGAGCAGAAACCTCATCTTTCTCCCATGGAGTGACTGGCGGAGTCGAACTGCTGACCTTGCAGTTAGCAACCCAACACATATCCACTATACCACCATTCAGAATTGTTGTTGTTAAGTGCTGTCCAAGTCAGACCCAACTCACAGTGACCAACGATAATATTTTAAGACAGCTATTCTGAATGGGGAGTCCTGGTGTGGCACCGTTGGTTAACGCACTGGATTACAAAATCAGCTTGACCTGCAAGGCCAGCGGTTCAAGCTCACCAGCTGCTCCTCGGAAACCCTATACAGAGTCACTATGGGTCGGAACCAACTTGATGGCACTTAACAACAAAAACAGTCTGAATGGAGTCCTGATGTGGTGCTATAGGATAAGCACTGAGCAACAAGGTCAGTTTGAATCACAAGATTGGCAGTTCAAACCCATCAGTCACTCTGAGGAAGAAAAACAAGGCTGTTTTCTCCCATAAAATGTGTAAGCTGAACAACAACAAAAATGTGTAGCCTGGGAAACCCTATGCAGGGTCACTATGAGTCAGAACTGACTTGATAGCACTGAGTGAATGTCAAAGGTCCCAGCTGGTGCACACAGTTGAAACACACTTTTGCCTAGGGATCCCAAGAGGGGTACACACTGCTAACTCATTTGGCTGCTAACCAAATGGTTGGAGATTTGAGTCCACCCAGAGGCACCTCAGAAGAAAGGCCTGGTAATCAACTTCTGAAAGACCAGCCATTGAAAACCCTGTGGAACACTGTTCTACTCAGACACACACGGGGTCACCATGAGTCAGTATCGACCTGACAACAATTTCTTTATTTCTGCCAAAGTCAGTTGTCCGACTTATTTCCTACCAAAGGATGCTGAGATGTGTCTTTCTGAGACACAGAAAAGATTCGACATGGGCTTTACGACAAATTTTAATTAAGAGCAATAGTCATGCTTTCTGACCAGGGTGCCCCAACTGAAGACCCCTAAGAAAGCAAATACCAGAAGTAGCTGGCCTCACTTGGCCAGAGATGGAGCTGGCTGCTAACCTGTCTTGGAGAAGCGGGCTGGGGGACCTGGAGTGCCGAGAGGTGGCCAGTGAAGTTTCCCGGTGGAAATCAGCATCCCCTGGGTTTCTGGAACTGGGCAAGGACTTTCCAAACTTACTTGAATCTCGGGGTGATGGGGGGTCATTCCTGATGACAATCCGCTCATCTGGCTCTTTGATAACCTGAGTGGTAATGTGCATTATTCTTTAGTTGCCGTTTTGTTTTATTAGCTTAAAGTCAGGGCTGGGGTGGGACAAGGAAGACACACACTATCTGCCCCAGAGAATTTCTGAAAATAAAAGGAGAGGCTAGAGAGTCCTGGAGTGGCGCTGTACGATAAGCACTCGACCTCAAGGTCAGTTTGTACTGAGAGGTGAGTGGTTCAAACTCACCAGCCGCTCCTGGGAACCCCTATCCAGGGTCACTATGAGTCGGAACTGACTCCACAGCACCCGACAACAACAACATAGGATGTTGGGGAGTGAAAGTCAAGGAAAACTTGGCAACACAATAAAAAGGCACGTTCATGGAACAACTCCATTATCTCCTAATTCCATTGATCCTCAAAAGGTTTTGAAGACCCATTGTATTAACAAGCCATTTTTAAGGTTTGGGGATTATTTGGTTTAGGAAAGGTATCTTTTTTCTTTCTTTTTTTTAAGCAAAAGATTTATAAGCTATGGCATAAGAAGTATAGTATATTCAATTTTCTCTGCACATATATAGGCCTTTTTAAAGTGTTGAAGAGCAAAGATGTCAGCTTGAGGACCAAGGTGTGCCTGACTCAAGCCATGGTATTTTCAATAACCTCATATGGATGCGAAAGCTGGACAGTGAATAAGGAAGACCGTAGAATTGATGCTTATGAGTTATGGTGTTGGAGAATATTGAAAGTGCCACAGGCTGCCCAAAGGACAAACAGATCTGTGTTGGAAGAAGTACAGCCAGAGTGTTCCTTAGAGGCTAGGATGGCCAAACTTTATCTCTCACACTTTGGACATATTGTCAGGAGGGACCCGTCACTGGAGAAGGATATCAGAGACAAAGAAGAAGACCCCCAATGAGATGGATTGGCAAAATGGCAGCATTAATGGGCTCAAGCATGGCAACAATTGTGAGGTTGGCCCAGGACCGGGCAGTGTTTTGTTCTGCTGTGCATAGGGTCGCTATAAGTTGATATCAACTTGATGGCACCTAACAACAACAACTAAAATGCTTGTATTGTAACATTTGGATTTAAACCTTGATCTTGACAAAGCAATCAGACTTTAAGGACAAGTTACTACCTCCACGTTAAAGAATAATTATAGGAAAGCCACTCCCCTCTGCATCCATCTGTTAGTTTGTCATCCTGCGGAGGCTAGCATGGTGCTGTGATGTTGGAAGCTGAGCTACTAGTATTTCAAATCCCAGCAGGGTCATCCATGTTGGACAAGTTTCAGTGGAGCTTCCAGACTAAGGGAGACTAGGAAGAAGGGTCTGATGATCTAGCTCTGAAAAGTCGCCCATAAACATTGTAGGGTTGACAAACAGTACACTGCTCAGCCTGCTTGTTTTACACGTGTCGTTAGGAGAGGTGTGGAGGACGACACTGTTTGGTGGTGCGGAGAACCAGTGTGGAAGAAGGAAACTCGTGGTGAGGTGGGATGGCACAAGAGCTGCAACCACAGACATGCAGCAGTTGTGAGGATGACCACTGTGAGGATGTTTTGTTCTATTGTACAGCAGTGACCAGCAACAGAGTTGGTACTGGGCTTACATGTACGCTCACTAGCAGTTCATCCACATAAGCAAATTCCGTTATGTCTGCAGGACAAACCAACCGGACCCAAAGCAAAGTCAAGGGTGGGGCCCAAGACACTTCCGAAACTGTAACCAATCCAGAAGCAGCACTAACTAAATGTATCTTACCACCACTGATTGGAGAAAGCATGACAATTGACAAAAGAGAACTGGAAATTAACCGTTTTACAAATGCTACTTTGAAAATTACCTTGACGTTAGCTGCAAGCCTGTCAAGAGAAGAAGCTAGAAGAAAGAGGAACAAATGTTTCAATGACTCGTTATTACCAGTTGCTCCTAACAGTGCTGTTACATTTATTCTACAGCAGCACAAAAGTATCAGATGATGAATAGCTTATGGAAGAGCATAAAGGCTCCCTTGTAAATGTCACGATCCCTTTGATGTCTCCCTTGAGACACAGCAATTCACTCTGTCCTCTTATGGCCCGCCAATCAGCATTATATTAATGACATAAGGAAATGGGAAGGACAAAGGTGAAATATAGTTCCAAAACCCTTTGTTGTTACGTGCCGTTGAGTCGGTTCCCAAAACCCTTTAGCAGCCAGGAAAATGATGAATTCACCCAGGGGCCCAGAGCAATATGGGTCTAAGAAAATGTATACACTCTGCCTCCTCTGCCAGTGCCTTGATATTTGATTTTCTAGGGACCCTATTTGGAGTCCTGGTGTGGCACTGTGAGCTAATGCGTCAGACTGCAAAGTCGTTTGAACTGCAAGGTCGGTGGTTCAAGCTCACCCTCTGCTCCTTGAAAACCCTCTACAGGGTCGCTATGGGTCAGAATCGACTTGACAGCACTTAACAACAACAACAACAGGGACCCTATTTACACAGGAACTCTTGAGCATTTTTTTCCACAGTAGACAATAAAATGTTAAACTGAGACAATTTTGTGCATAAGACCACAGAAGGACATGATGCAGCAAAAGTGTAAATCATCACAGTTACCCTAGATAATCATAATTAGACGGTAGATCTAATGCCAGAGAATGGTAACAAAAGTTAGGAAGTGAAATAATAAATAAACATACACAAAACCAAGACTAAATTGGAAGTTTCCAAGTTGAGAATAATTTTTTGAAATGAGTATTTGCCAGGCTATACTAAAGCACCACGGCTTTCCTTGTTTCCTATGTCTTGGTCAGCTGTATTCAGTAATCTCCAAGAACACTGCTTGAGTGACGACATGTGACCATGTATGGGGACCCTGTTGTCAGGGCTGCTCTTGGTCCAATCCTACCAGAAGCCAAGGCAATAGCCCACTAGTATTCCTTCCTCGTCTAAGAATTCTGATTAAGTGTGGGGATGGTTGAACTTCACTACCTACTGACCTGGTTCATGTATTTCAACTACAGGGTCATGGCCACCAGAAGATACCATAACCCACTGATTTTCAATATGTGGTCCAGAAAGCTCCCCAGGGCTCCCCAAGACTTTTTCAGGTGACTCCCCAAGGTCAAAACTGTTTTCACTCTCGTTCTCTGACAAATGTACAGTGGAGCTTTCCAGAAATTACACAACATGTAATAATGTCCCTATACTGATGGCTGCTAGAATGTGCTCTCTTGTGTTTTTACAATGTCTCAGTATTAATTTTTAATATGTCAAATGGAAATCGATATAGCACAACTTATCAAAGGATAGCAAAAGCTCTTGTTATCGATCAGTAATGTTTAAAGAATGCAAACAGGAAGACTGAGAGTCACTAAATTAACCTCACTGAAATAACTGGCTCTCCTCCTCACTGACATGGCATCTTGTAAAACAAATGTTATGTCTGCTGATCTGTAGCCTTCCTCTGCTCTTTCCCATCATGTCACTTTGGGTCTGTTGTTCACAGTGTCACCACTGGGAGCTAGCAGCGGTACTTTTGCAAGGAAGGCACACCAGGGCAAAGCTGCTCTCTGCTTTTCCAGCCCAGCCAGGGAACAGTTTCCCCCTCAGCACACTCGATTAGCAAAAGTTCTCAGAGCAATCCTTCCATATCGAGGGGAACATTCAAGGGGAGCCCTTCTGACTCTGCTCCGTGGGCACTGTGCCCTGGAAACTCCACAGCTGTAGACTACTAGAGAATTAGGCCCACCGTCTCCAAAGCAACTTGTGATTCCTCCGAATACAAGAAGCTTTAGAAGTAGGATACATAAGTTTCTGAAGGCTAATGTACTGGAGTCCTGGGGTGGCACTGTGGGCTAATGCGCCTGACTGCAAAGCCATTTGAACTGCGAGGTCAGTGGGTCAAGCTCACCAGATGCACCTCGGAAACTATACAGGATCGCTATGGGTTGGAACCGACTCGACAGCACTTAACAACAACAACAATGTACAGGAAAAACTTAAGTACCTCTTCGCATTGGAAATGGAAAGTTTGACAACTTGCACTTTCTTCTAGATTTTCGGGGACGATGCTCTGAAGTTGCCTCACCAAAAGGCTTGGCACTGTCCACCTGAAAGCAAATCAAAAAGATAAGACTTGAATGTGTCCTAGTTGAGCTCATGGTGACCCCAGGTGTGTCAGAGCCGAGCTGTGATCCACAAGTGTCTGTTCTTTTGTACAGAGGGCTGCCATAAGTAGGGGGCCCACTGGACAGCTGCTCACAACATCATCACATATAAAGATCACATTCTAGTAATGATTTTCAAAAATTAAAAAGAAATGACTGACTTCTTTGAGCAGGTTCTCTCTACCAGATATCTTTAAGGATGTCTTCGCCAACCAAGAGAAGACCCTCAATGAGACAGATTGACACAATGGCTCTAACTTAGGAATGACTGTTGAAGCTGGTGCAGGACCGGGTAGGGTTTCCTTCTGTTGTTCACAGTGTCACTTTGGGTCAGAACAAACTTGATGGCCCTTCACAACAACAACATGGTGATAGATGAGTAACGAGAGGGAGAATGTTATGACACAAAGAACATCAGTGAGATCATTGGACTGAACCTGTCTCTGCTTACTGTCTGGTGAGGTGAGCTGGCCCATGTTTATCTGTGTCTCCTCCCCTGTAAAACGGAGATAGATCAGGTTCCACCCTCATCTATGCCCCAAAGACTCTGAAGAATGATTTTAGACTCACGTGTCTAACTACAAATGGAGGTTTGATTTCTCTGGCAATTTTGTAACGATTTCCAAAGTTCAAGTGCGTTGGCTGGTCCTGGAAGAGAGGCCTGGTGGGGAGCGGGGAGGGCGACCGGGACTGGAGTTGTCTGGACGTCCTGTCCAGATGACTTCCCCTGGGTTTGATCTTTATGCTGTTTAGGGGGGAAACTGGTCCCGGTGACATAAATAAGGGCCTCTGTGGTTTATGTCTGTCTTCCTGAAACCAAAAAGAAACCATATTCTAAAGAAGGACATTTTTTCAATGAGTCGAATTCTATCCAAATATAACGGCATTTCATTAAACTTTCTTAGCTAAAGGAAAAGATGGAACATCTCAGATTTATGAAGAATAAACTTAAGGGAGGGCACTTTTCTCCAGTTCACTGTAACATTATTTCCTAGTATTTACAACTCACTACAACAATATGTTCCATTACACTGGTGTTTACTTTTATTAGGGGAGAGATACATCCCTCTACACCAGCCAGAAATAAATAGGTAGCTAGGGAAGTAGATGAAAGAAAGGAAAGTGAGGAGGAGGTGAAGGAAAAAGAGAAAACAAGAAAGGAATAGAATAGGGCATAGTCCTGAGTCCACCAATTTTACTTCTAAGGATTTATTATAATAAAACAATTGTGGTTGTGTCTACTTCCAGCACTCCTCTGTCAGTGTGCTGTACATTAGTGACTTGAGGGTTGCTATGATACTGAAAGCTATACCACTGTTATTTCACATGCCAGCAGGGTCATGCATGGTAGACAGGCTTTGGTAGAACGTCCAGACTAAAACAGACTGGAAGACTGGATATCTGCTTTGGGGTTAAAAAAAAAAAAGGCCAGTAGCAGAACACTGTCTGATATAGAGCCAGCAGTTGAGCCCCTAAGGTTGGAAGGCACTCAAAATATGAGGAGGAAGAGGTGTCTCCTCGAAGTACAGTCAAGCTGAGTAATATGGACGACTAAAGCTTTGGGGGCCCTTTATTTGTTGATGTGGCACATGACTGAAAATGAGAAGAAACAGCTGCAACATCCATGAGTAATCAAAATGAGGTATGTACAAAGTATGAATCAAGGAAAACGGGAACTTGTCAAAAATGAAATGGAACACTTGAAAATTGATAGTGAGCAGAGATGGATTGGTAGTGACTATTTTGAATCAGGTAATCATACAATATCAGAAATGTTAAATTGAACTGGAATGGTGTTGCATTCATTATCAAAGAGAGCATTTCAAGATCTATCCTGAAGAACAAGATAATACCCATACTCCTACATGGAAGACCAGTTAAAATAGCTGTTCTTTAAATTTATGTACCAATCACTAATACCAAAAAGGAACAAATTGAAGATTTTTATCAATGTCTATAGTCTGAAATTAAGGTGCTCTGGTTACAAATCAGGCTGCGAACCGCAAGGTCAGCAGTTTGAAACTACCAGCTGTTCCATGGGAGAGAGATGAGGCTTTCTGCTCCCGTAAAGATTTATAGCCTTGGAAACCTGTACAGGGTCGCTATGAATCGGAACCGACTCCACGGCACATACCCACCACCTCCATAGCCCGAAACTGATCAAACATGAAAGAATCATTGATAATTACTGGTGATTGGAATGCAAAAGTTGGAAACAAAGAGGAAGGATCAGTAGAGTTGGAAAATATGAGCTTGGTGATAGAAACAACATCAGAGATCACATAAAAGATTTTTGTAAGATCAATGACTTCTTCATTGGAAATACCTTTATTCAACAACATAAATGGAGACTATGCAGGTGGACCTCACTGGATGGAATATGCAGGAATCAAAATCAACTATATTTGTGGAAAGAGAACAAAGCCAGGGGCTGTGGAACAGTTCATCACCTGTGCAGCTGCAAGCTCGAGTTGAAGCTGAAAAAAATTAAAACAAGTCCATGAGAGCCAAAGTAAAAGCTGGATTATATTCCACCTGAATTTTGAGACCATCTCAAGAATGGATTTGATGCATTGACCACTAATGACCAAAGGCCAGATGAGTTATGGGATGATATCAAGGATATCATTCATGAAGAAAACAAAAGGCAGGAAAGGAAGAATTGACCAAAATGGATACCAGAAGAGACTCTGAAACTTGCTCTTGTAAGTAGCTAACAGAAATGGGAGAAATAATTAAGAGAACCACATAGAAGATATCAGAGCACTCCAGAAGATAGAGGGAAGTATTACATTGAAATGTGTAAAGACCTGGAGTTAGAAAACCAAAAGGGAAGAACACACTTAGTATTTCTCAAAGCTGAAAGAACTAAAGGAAAAAATTCAAGCCTTGAGTTGTAATACTGAAGGATTCTTTGGGCAAAATGGAGTCTGGACTTGTGGAGGACTTCTGGTTTGGGGACAGCAGAAGTAGAGATGGGCAGGGGAGGCTCCTCGGTGGAGGTACAAAAACAACCAAAGAAGTTGCTTAGCCAGAACAGTTTGAGAGCTTTAGATCAAATATAAAGTAAGGGGCAGTAGTTTCAGGAGCGGAGAAATCTGACTATGGCAGAATAAATGGCGATTTCGGAATTAACTGGGACATTGCCTGCAGCCCACAGCCTGGGTGGAGATCAGAGGGCAGGGCCACAGCCAGGCTGATACAGTGTGAAAGCCACGGAGTGACTTGTGGAAAAAGAAGAGTGATGGCTTTTTTCACGTCTCTTTCCTCCTCTCCCCTGTTGCACCCTCCCAGCCTGGACATCTTTAGGTGGGTGGGAGCACACCCCCAATAGGGTCCAGCGTTGTGCCCACAGGTACAATTTTCCCATGGTGCAAACAGGAAATCCCTGAAAGCCCCAGTGGTTCCAGCTAATCCTTTGGCGTTTTCTATTGACGTCTGACTGTAGGATTTAGCACTCCTACTTAGGCAGAAGCCTTTATTCCTGCCTTACCTAA